CCCCCCCCCCCCCCCCACAAAGCTCACATTTTGTCAAGTGTTCTGCTTGTGAACTCTGGGGCTTAGCTACATGGAGCTGCTGAACTGCTTTGACTTGTGCTGGTGCTTTAGGCTGCCTGGATGGTTGTGCCGGACTGGGAGAGGAGCAGCTGACTCTTGAGGACCCACTATTGGTTGAGGCTGTTTGGGGTACCAGTGTTTCCTTATTCAGGACCTGCTGCGCAGAGGAAACCCTGTGTGGAAAAAATTCCAGTCCACATTTTCATGGTTGCACATAACTTCACTGACACTACAATTATTATACTTCAGAAATATTGGCAATCAAAACAGATTATACTTCACAAAATTCCTTATTAATTACCGTCTGAATTTTAATGTATGCTTGTACTTTTGTGATGTTTGATTTTCAATTCAATTCAATTCAATAAGCTTTATTGGCATGACATTTCTTATGTGTTGCCAAAGCACAATTACAATTTAAGACAGTTAAAATTCAAAAACAGTTTACAAATACAAAGACATACATTTTAAAGGAAAAATAAATCATTAAGTGAAGGAGTAAATAAAAAGGCAGAGTGTGATCTGCGTTGAGATGAACTATATGTTGTTGTGTTGGTTGTCTCTTGTTGTGACATGCATTGACATATGCTCCATCTATGGCGCTGACACTATTTTCTGTTTACTGACACCAGCCTCCACAACACTGCTCTTTCTTGTACGTCATGCCAAGATGTCTCATATAATATGAGTAGACTGGATGTGATATAAATGATAATCTTTTACTTTGTCTCAAAAGGAACAAAACGCAAATTTTGATCAAGCGGCACCTGCTTTTCACCTGATTGTTTACCAACTCCTGTCTGTAGTTACTTGCTGCTTGTCTGTAGATGAAAAGCCAAAGACAGTTATGTGAATGTGGTAGGTTTCTTAAAAATTTTGGCTCACTTGCTGTTGTTGTCTTTCCTCTGTTCAGCATCAGATCCTCCATTTATGTCTCTGTCTGTCTGTAGAAAAAAACAAAAAACAAAAACAAGCCCACACGTGAATGAGACAGAGACCGAAAGAAAGAATATGCTGGTGCCTGTGAAGCCTTGTGCACAGCTGTGTGTCTACTCCCCCATTTGCCTTGTTCAAGTTTCAAGTGTGTGTTCATGCAGGTAAAGCACGTTTGTTAAAATGAAATGCTTCAGTCATTCTCACCTCATCCAGGACTTCTATGACGAGGCACGATTCAGGTGTAGTAATCTGAGGCTCAGCCCTGCCCCTGCTGACAGGGACGGCAAACAATGATGCACAGTAGCGACGAAAATCCTCCTCCTGGGCTATAAACACACACACACGTAATCAAGAAGGGGCAAGAGGCAAAGAGCCGTGTTATATGTTGCAACATGAGGGACTCAGAGTATTTGGTTTTGTTTGTTTGTTTTTACGGCTGCTACCATAATTTTTATTTTAGCTATTGTGAGAAGAACATGCAAAGTCATGGAAATATAACAATCAAGTATAGATTAATTAATGATGAAGTTATGGTTGATTCAGGAAGTCAGTCAACATTTGCACTGACAGGAGCATTCATCATTATACTTGCATGCTGGCCAATATATCAATCACAGGTGAAATCTACATCCCCTCAGCATTCTGTTTGACCCTCAGGTCAACACCTGACTATCGGCATCCAGCCAACTTATCTATCAAGCTTTTGACTGAGCACTGAAGGTGACTTAGTGCAAATTTCAATGATACCTGACGGACACAGCTTTGATAACTTATAAGCAAAATACACCAGTTGAATTATAATTTTACAAACATGTATTAATCATTTATTTTTGTGTTTTCCTTCACTTTATGAAGTGACCTCCAAGTTTCAGATCAAAATTACTTGAGCTTACAGAGAGCCACTCCTCTGTCAGTTTTAATTAAAAATAGCCGGTCAATTAGAGCTGGCTAATGTGATTGTTTACAAAGGCGTAAACCGAGTTGTAAATTGTAACAGCATAAAAAAGAAAGCCGTGTGCTACTGAGTGGTATTTCAGGTGGTTGTTTGCCGAACCTCTTATCACTTTTCTCCCTGTGAGAGAAACCAGTGGACATGCCAGGACCCTTGGTACCAATCGGGACATCTTCTTCTCTTACACCCTCCTCCTTAGAGGAATCAGAGGTCGGGGTCACCGAGAACTGCACGCTTGGGTCTGTATTAATGTATTATCTTGTTTCTGTTGAAAGATGTTGCTGACATAGCAGGGGATGAACAGCGGTTTCCCTTCTGAAGACAGCAGACATGTGGTGATCTACAGTCCCTGTATGTCCGTGTGATTATCTGTGTTGATATTGAGCAAAAAGCTACAGATACATTCAGCTAACGTGATTATTTTAAACTCGATAGACACATAAAACATTGAATATTTAGAATATAATTTACCATGCTGCACAGTAATTTCTTCCTGACAATATGATAATAACCCTCTATGATGAAATCTCCTTCTCTTTGTCTTTAGTTGTAGTTTTTGCAGTCCGTCTCTTCCTATCGTTGTTTCACCACTCCAACTTACCTGTCTGCGCCACCTCCCTATCTCTCTCCCTCTCATACTAACAATCCTTCTATCACATCACCACATGGGTCTGACAGCTCGGGAAAATGAGAATTTAAAACAAGGGAGAGCTCCCCACATGATGCCGGAAAACAGCTTTTATTATTCATGGACACACACATAGCCCACCCTTTCATATTCAAAGGCAAGAGAGGAGGAGAAACTCCGCAACCTGTTGTAATTGGCATGCGTCAGAAAAGTTTGAAGCAGGTGGAAGGAATAGTTTATCAGCTGCTGAACAGCTCTACATTTCCCAAAGACGCCGCTGTCTTCCTCGCATCTGCATATCGCTGACACAATGGAATATCAATTATTAAAGTGGGAGCAGATAAATGAAATTCATGATGTGAATTGCTGTGTTTTTAGTAGACAGGGATGGGTATACTTAAGAGCTGGAGTAAGATAACCACATTAAGTATGAATAGTTTGAGAAAGCCGCAGAGATGTGACAGAACAAGAAATTGCATAAGATATGTGCAGAGCTGCCTGTTTGCCTTCATGGTTAACACTGAAAAGTCTAAACAAATCAGTTTAAATGTCCCGTCCTGTGTATTGTATGTGTATGTGTATGTAAGGAATTTGCAAAGAAAAGCAGGGGTAGTACCGCAGGTTTTTCTCACATTCTTGCACCAAATAAATGTACATTTACCTGCAACATCATGTAATATAGACTTTTTTTCCCTTCAAGACTGGTATACTTATAGTATTTATTTGACATATTATTTGATACAACTCTCTGTGCCCTTGGAAAAAGTATGACAGAAGTGTACTCTACTCTGACTCCCATAGCCAATTGTCAACTTTCCAGGTCAATGTTAGGTTAATGAGAATTTTGCAACTTAGAAAACTGGGTTATGAGATAGAGAAGGTTGTGAAACCCTCCTTCAAAGCAGAGCATGCATTTTCCACAAAATATAACCGTTTGCAACAAATGATCTAATCCTCTGAAGTAAATGACTCTGACTGAACTTCCAGCTCTTAGCCTCATAAAGACCGAGATCTGACAGAAACAGTCTGGTCCACTGATAGCTTTCTAACCATTATAAAGTCTCCAGAGGTTATTCTTGAAATTTCATGTCTGTGTTTTTCGTGCGTCTTGTGAAAAACAAGAATTCACCTAAAGTTCATTGTTGCGTAATCAAGTCCTTTTGTTTCAGGTCATGAATGGCAGCTAAAAGCTTGTTTAGAGAATCATCAGATGTGGGAAGAAAGAGAGTGGTTTGTGTATTTGGATTGGGATTTATACAAGTGCAACCCGTGGCTGGATGGTAGGCCTTATTAAAGATGCTGGAGCAGGGAGAGCAAGAAGTGAGAAAAGTACAAAGCTGCGTATCTATAAAAGTTGTAATACTTAGGAGGATGGAGCGGTTTTAAGCTGTATAGTGTTACTTTTTGGACTTTTGTAAAGGCATCTTTGATTTATTAGATCAGGCACGGTGGAGAGCTGCAAGAGATATTGTTAATTTATAATATGCGCCTTTTTCCTTTATGGACAACAGTTGCTATGAACCTCTAAACTTTACTGTTTCATATTTGGGTGGTTGTCACAGATTTAACATTTCCATAGGGAGCACAGAAACCACTTTGACCTCAAAGATTTTAAAGGAAACAACTATTTGAGATAGACAGCTATGGGGAAAGGGGTAAGCAGGGGCTTGCAGATCCTAACAAGGTCGGGATTGGAGTGAATCTTGATTGATGTGATGAGAGGCAGTTGACAGCCCCAGGGTCCAGAGGTTTGGAAGGGGAGAGATAACCGTGGTCTGCCCGTCTCCTGACAGCCTCGGCTGGGGGCCAGAAAGCCAGGACACTCCCCTGACTGATGAGCTCCAGGCCCTGAGCTCCAGACTACAGGCCAACCCTCACTCCCTCTCCCTGCCCCATTCCTTACCCAGGCAGAGTGCAACCTGTCAGGCATGAGCCGCCTCTAACGGCCCTCTGCCCACACAATCACAGCCAGTGATTACCCGTCACACCGCCACAGATGGATGGGCAGGCACTGATACGTCTGACCCGCTGAGAGGGAGAGGTTTTTTACTTTTGCTATTGTGTGTTTGTAAATGTGTGTATGTGCGTGTGTGTGTGTGTGTGTGTGTGCAGGTCATCTGTCAAACTATTCCGTCCGTGGCTGTTTCTTTGCATGGTCTAAGAGCCTGTTTGGGTATGTATATCAGAGAGGAGGCACGAATCGCAACAGCACACAGCTGTCAAGACTGTGTGTCAACATCCTGTTTTAGAGTCAAAGGGTGCTGATGGACGTACAAGTGTGTGTGTGTGTGTGTGTGTGTGCATGTGTATTACCTGTCAGGCTGCATGCAGTCTCCTCCCCAGTGTTTGTGTTACGTATGGGTTTTAAATCCGTACCAAAGGCCAACGATGGACGAGAAGTTTCGATTGGTGTTCTGGAAACATAAAAATCAAAGAACAAAAAAATCAATGAATAAACACTAAATGAATAAAAAATAAAACATAAAACACTGACTCAAGACCAGACCTGGATGAGAAAATACTGGGCTGACTAAAAGCTGTCTTACTTTCCTCTTTTCACGCCTTCTTTGTGAAACCAGGATGGCTGCATGCATAGATAGATGTGTTGATAGATACGTGCACACTATGTGGATTTGTTCTCACTTTGCTGCAGCCCCACCTTCACAGTCCCTCACATCGTCTCTCTCTTTATTTCCCCCCTTACCTCTACTCCCTGCTTCCTGATCTAATATGGCCAAAGTGCATGTCCAGCGAGAGAGACTTTATGAGAGGCTCCAGGCTGCCCACAAGGGGAAACCGAGGAAGTTACTTGTAGTTTATATCTTCTCCTCTCACTTAGTCCATTTCCTGAATCCTGGCAATGTTTATATTTCTCCGTCTGTTTAATACACTCAGATGTTTTTATTTAATCCTTCCCCTCGCATCCCTTTTCTTTTCCCTTTGCTCCATCCATCCATCTTCTCGCCTTGCGTACAGTACTTTACATGCAGTAGCTTCACTACCCCGAGGCTGTTTGCATTTAAGCTTTTGCTGGAGCGCAGGAAAAAGAAGCATGTTGCTCTTCTGGGGGTCCTCTGGGGTCCTGCATTTTTTTACCTCCCATTGGAGATATATATTTGATAAAGAGGCCTTCAATTTAGCCTGGTCATCCACAGAGACAAAACCCGGGTGAAGTGTTCTCGAGGAAGGATTTTGAATCCCAACCAAATTAGCCTGCACCCTGTAAGGAAGAGCTCGAGGAGAGTTTCCCTACAGTAATTAATAAAGTGGCAAATAATTTATAAGTCTCTCTAAAAAAAGGGGAAAGTGAGATACAGTATAACTACGATGCCATTTAGAGACAAATTATGGAACCATAATAGTGATGTATAAGATGTGCTTTCTCAGTTTGTAGATTTTATTTATGATACCTCAGAAACAATACTTCATTTTGGTTTAAGGATTATTTAAACACCTCTTAGACTAATGGAAATACCCTTATTTGATGCCCCCCTGCAATAAAGCCAAGCTAAAGCAAGAGGGATTTGACAGCAATGAGCCCTTCAATAGGACCATTATTGCTGCTATATTTGCCCTGCGGACAGCAGGCTAGCTCAATCAGATTTGACATTTGTGCCAAAAGTGCTTTGTGGAAGTCACCACATCTATCAGAGGTGATATTTCGACCATTACTCCAACTATTTAAGCTTCTATTTCTGTACTCGAAGCAAAACTTTGGCTCTGAGTGACTGTATGGCACAGGTCAAATCTTGTCTTTTACTTCAGAACACAACTGACAGTTTAGAGTCAGAAAAAAAGTGTGAGGATCTGCAGTCTCCCGGGGAAATAATGTTTTTTATTTATTTATTTACTTATTTGAAAGGGACAGTACACATTAATGAACATCAGTATGTGAGTACACGTGTAAATGTGTCGGAGTTAGCAAACCTGCTAATTTACATCCGTAGTCCCTTGGCAGGTAATAGACAGACAGACACATAGGAGGTAGACGAGAAAAAAAGGAGGAGTAATAATAATAACAGTACACAAGGAGTTCACATTAAAATACCCATTCATACATAGACATAAAGTGCGGTGTGGATTCTATAAAGTGCCGGGTGTAAAGTGCCAGTTGTTAAAGTGCAAGTGCATGATAGTTAAATAGATCCACATGTGGTGGCCCACTCCTGCCGCTTAGAGTGGACCAAGACATCAGATACTTAGCAGCAGATGAAAAGTCCCATTCACAATTTAGGTACACAAAGATAATACATCACAGTGCAGTATAGTGCAGTGCATGCATACATACGTATATGTAGGCATGCACTGCACAACAACAATAACAACAACAAAGACAGTGCAAAGCATGGCGGACAGTCACAGAGCACGGCACATACGTATATGTATCGGGCTCTGCGAGAGGTCCGCCTAGCCATGATTACAGTGTTGGTTTGTTTTGAGCCAGTTTTTGAGGTGGGCCTTAAAGGTGCTATAGGTAGGGCATTCTCTTATTGTACATGGTATGTTGTTCCAGATGTTACTGCCCTTAACCGACATAACAGATTGTCCAAAAGTCGTGTGTCTGTAAGGTACTTCGCAATCTCCCCTGGAATAGGCTCTGGTGGTTCTGCCACTGCTAACTTTAAGTTTTATATATTCTTTTAATGGAGGAGGTGCAAGTCCATTCAGTGTTTTGTAAATAATACAGGCGTACTTAAGAACTTTAAAATTTTCAAAACTCAAGAGGTTGTACTTCTCAAGGATATGGCAGTGGTGGTGAGAGATCGGTTTTCTGTCAAGGATTTTTAGGGCCCTTTTATATAATGATTCTATTGGTTTAATTGTAGTTGTTCCAGTGAGAGACCAGTTTGTAAAACAATATTCAATGTGGGAAAAAATCATTGCATGCATAAACATTCTGGCCGCGTTAACTGTCAGCGATGGCCTAATCTGCTTGAAGTTAAGTAGATTGAATTTGATTGTTTTTGAAATCTTTTTAACATGATTTTTAAAAGAGAGAGTAGGATCAAGAACAACACCAAGGTACTGGAATTCTTTTACTAACTCAAGTTCCTCTCCTCTCAGGAATACATTTGATTGTGTGACCTTCACTGACTGTTTGGAAAACATCATACAAACAGTTTTTTTGGTATTTAAAAGGAGACATGAATTCGTGAGCCAATTCTGGATATCGGACAACGCTGACGTGAGGATAAGGGCGGCTTCTTGGGTATTTTTTGCAGATGTGAGAATTACAGCATCATCCGCGTACATCTGTATGTGAATGTTTTTGCATACTAACGGTAAATCGTTGATGTAGAGCGAAAATAAAATTGGACCGAGCATGGAGCCTTGTGGGACCCCCACTGGACACTCCAGGTATGGTGATTTGACTCCGTTGACCTTGACACACTGTGTTCTGCTTAATAGATAAGATTTCATCCACTTGATGGCTTGTTCCGAGAAGTTATAGTGGGTAAGTTTGGTTAAGAGAATATTGTGGTCAACGGTGTCAAATGCCTTTTTCAAATCTAAAAACACAGCACCAACACAACCATTTTTATCCAGAAAGTTTTTGGTTTTCTCTAAAAACACAGTGATGGCCGACTCTGTTGAGTGGTGGGCACGGAAACCAAATTGCATGGGATGCAAGGGGGTATAGCCCTTGTTCAAATGCTCAGTTAATAATGTTACTACCCATTTTTCTAATATTTTAGAAACAATTGGTAGAATGGTGATTGGTCTGTAGTTATTTTTGTCAGTTATATCTCCAGATTTAAAAATTGGATTAACTACACCTATTTTCCAAGCAGTTGGGACAACAGAAAGCTTGATTGACTGATTTATCAGATGTGTAATCGGTGGTATCAGAGCGTCCTTGTGTGCTTTTAAGAAGTTGGTGTCAAGATCATAGATATCCTTGGCTTTAGAGCTGTTGAGGGATCCAATAATATTGGCTACTTCAGTTTCAGATATCTCCTTTATCTTGAAGATGGGTTGTGTGTGGTTGATAGGAGTATAGTCGTAGTCAGGTGGATTGAACAATTGCGATATCTCATGTACAGAATTAATAAAATAGTTGTTTAACTCAGTAGCAAGGATAACAGGATTTTTCACCAACTTGTTGTAAATGTATTGGGCGTGACATACAAACCAGAAGAAAACAAGCCACTGGGTTTAACACTTCTGTTGATAGAGTTGTTTGGAGGCATTCTGACAGCTTTGTACGCTCGAGCATAACAAAGAGAGCTTGTCTCTTTTTCAAACTCATAACCTAATGGCTCTGCCCTTATTCTTTTCTCACGCAGACATGGAACAACATCATCACCCCATTGGAGTTGTGTTCAGTAAGCAAATAATGGCTGAGCTATTTATGTTCCATGCAGGCAGGTTGCCACGTTTTATTGTGTGTAAGGTGGCCCTTTAAAAGTCTTTCTACGAGTCTAAAGTAAACATACACGCCTTGTAGATGACCTTTACTTTGAAGGGATTAAAAATAACAATTTCCTCGGACAAGAAATAACTAGAATCTCATCAGTTCACATTTGAGTTTCAGCTGGCCCCTACCTACATGGCATCTCAGTTCTATGCCTGTGCAGACTTTTATTTCAGGGTTCACTGCCTTGATCAAAGATACTTTGACTCTGGCAGCTGATGGAAGGGTGAGTATTCACTTACCCCACCCACACTGCCCAGCCAGCGCAGGAAATCAGATTGATGCCCCCCCCGGTCACAAGCTTGCTTTCTGTAACTTGCAGGCCACCCACAAATCTAAGAAGGTGATAGAGTTTATGACTCTAATATAGCTGAGCACTTTTAGCAAATTCCTTAAAACTCTTTCCTCCTCCACGCTCCCCCCTTCCTTCACTCTCTCTTCCATTATTATAGAGGCTTGTTAAAATTCAGCCTCCCACTCATTCTTTCTGCCAGCCAGCCAGTCTCTCTGTCTCTCCATTAAGCTCTGCCACCATCACCGCTGCAGGCTTATTGCACTCTAGATTGGCTCTCTAGTCTATTCCACAGTTAAAGGCTGCTACAGCTGGGGACTTAGAGCATTCCAGCTCAGGCAGTCAGCGGGCCTAAAACTGCACTCTGCTCTCCTCTCCTCTGGCCTGCTCTCCAGTGGGCTACTCAGCCCAAAAGGAGCCGCTTAAATAAAGGGCTGTAATAATGGGACCTGCTGAAGCCAGGCCCTCAGGCAGTCTACTGCACAATAAGTGCTGAGAAACTGCTTTGTACACTGGTGGCTTATGTAGGCTGACTGAAGAAAGGCAGGAGAGGCATGTGCAGCGGCATGAAAAGGTGTGTGATCTGAAAATTGTGTGTGTGTGCGCACATGCGGATGTATTTGTGTCCCCGGTAATGGAAGTGGCAACAAAGAGAAAGTGTGTGTGTGATGTGAGAGGGAGAGCTTGTTGGGAAAACTGTGTGTCATGCGGTTCTTTCCGTGTTCCCAGCTGTACAAGGAGTGACCTCAACAAGTTGTCACTAAGCAGCCTCTGTATGTGTCTGTTAAAGTGTTGGCATATACACCAGAAAAAAAAAGTGACGTCTAAATGTCTAAAAAATGAAGAGAATAAAAAAAAACAGATAAAAAAGAAAACAAATACAAACCTCACATCCCTAAATATCACACCCCAAATGTCACGTTGCGTTCCTGCCGCTAAAGTTGTGTTCTTGTTTTCTTTCTTTTTTTCGGTAATTATTTCCTGATTTTTTTTTTTTTGTTACTCACCTTTGTCTCTCATTTCAGATACAGCACTTCCTGCCCCCTTGTGTTTCCCATCTTCCCCGCCCTGATTAGTTTCACCTCTCCCTCATTACTTGCCTCCCTTGTGTATTTAGGCTGTATGTTCCCCTTTGTCTACAGCAGTTATTCTTCCTTTCTAGTGAGCGTTCCGGCATTTATACCTCATGTTTTCTGAGTGTTGTTCGACCTATATTCTGTATTTTGTTTCAGTCTCCTGCCTAGCCTTTTTTTTTGATACTTCTGATATCTTCAGTTGAGATATTAACTTTTCATTGCATCCTTGAGTTGAGCTTTTGAGTCTCACCTCTGTTGTAGCCAGTGCATCATGATAAACAGATCAAATGAACATCACATTAAGTTCTTTAAGCTTCACACCAACAACAGTTGTTAATATACAGTAACAAATACGGGGCTACTCCCAGTTCACACCTGATTCAGGAGAATTTACCTGGTGCTCAGCTCCACAACATGCCAACAATGAAACTCATTTTGGCACAAAAATTACCTTTAATTAAGTCCTGGCTCATTTGCTCATAAATCTCCACTCGTCATATGGGCAGACTTCATGTCTTATATCCACTGCACTAGTTAACACAACACTGCAGTCTGAACTTGACATTTTCTGTGGTACCCAATCAACTTGAGCCTGACTAATCATGAACACAGTAAGTGTATTACCTGTAAGCTCTGTAAGAAAAAGTGGTCCCTACTAGAATACTTGGAAATCATCCTATTTTTGTGAAGCAGCATTTGCAGCAGCTTAGAAACATCAGTCGGCACTAAGAAGGGAACAGCAAGAAATCAAGGTAATGGAACAGCAAGGAGGGACTGAGGAGTTGTTCATGGTGTTTCTTGAAGTTGATGGAAAGGCTACTGGCACTGCTAACTTTTGAGTTTCGAGTTTTCCTAAGAATATCTATTTTATTTGGTATTAATTTATCTGCAGACATTGCCTGAATGGATCCACTGTAGGCGCTTTTAGACAAGCTGTCAGTGTATATGAGTGGTTATGTCAAATTTAAAGCTGTCGTAAATGCATTATAAACACATACGTACAAACATAACTGTTATTCCTTGCTTAGCAACCACATTTTTTTGGTATAAAGGCACAAAATGATATCACTATACAGCTGAGTTGAGAGGTGAGTTACCTCTGTTTAATAAAGGAAAGTGATTCTTAGCAAAAAAGATATGTTGTCAGGCATAATGAAGAGGAAGAACACACAGCTTCTCATAGCGCCCACTGCATGAACCCCACAACAGAAGCTCTACATGCTTTCTGATATGTATGTGTGGTGGATGCACATTGTTGTCTGTGTGTGTCTGTGTACCTGCGGTGCTTCTTAAGAAGCAATCTTTCCATGTAGGTAAGACTGCTTTCTTTGAACTCCACCCTGACAGGTACCCCTCCTCTCCCTCGTCCTTCAGCTCCTCTGTCTTGAGCGAGGTCAGCCTGGGTCGCCATCGCTGACACCGATACTGGAGGAATACGGGGATGGGAAGATCAAACAAAAATAAAGTTAAAGTAAGAGAGCAAAAGGGAGGAGGAGACGGCCAAAAGGAAAGAGGGAGTCAGACAAAAGTAGAAAAAGAAGGGGAAACATCATTCGCCAGCATCTCAACACCTTCCTCAAAACACCTCCCCTCATGAAGTGAGAAAACACCTTGTCACCACGCCAAGAGTGCCAAAACACAAACAGACAGGAGAGAGCCCCCTGAGAATATAAAAAAGATGTACACAATACAAAAGGAACATAGGAAGCGCATGAGAGGAAAGGAAAGATAGAGGTAAGAAAGAGAAATGTTATGATTGTACTCCAGACACTTTGGCAGTCCATAGTGGCGGCTTTAAATTGGGCCTGGGTGCCACTGGCCTGACAGAAATAATTAGGGCTGGAGGGGCTAGCAGCAATTTGCAGAGCAGGGCGAAGGCAGACAGGAGCAGAGTCTGTCCAAGCAGTAAAGCAGAGAAAATAGGAGGCCTAATAAAAAGCACAAACACCTAGACACATACACACAACCTGGAATAATAGCACTAATAACACACACCCACATAAACCTGGGCACACAAACACCATCGCACATGCGCACACACGTCGAAACACAGTTTGTTGGAAAAGGCATAAAAATTGCCTGACGCAGTGGAGCTTGTACACATACGCATACACACAGCTGAGGCGATTAGTGCTGTGGTGTGGAGTAGGGCCACCCCTAACACTTCTCTCATTATCTCAATATGCAACAGCCATGGATTACCCTTCTACTGCAGTGGTAAGCACTTTCTGTAAGGCCTCAACAGATCAGAGCACAGACAGGGAGAGTGGGAGCAGGGAAGCTGAGGAGTAGGTGAAAATGGGAGGGGAGGAGGAGAAAGGAAGAGCTAAATAGTGTAAAAAATGGAAGAAAACACTTACTCAAGTATTACTGTATATATACATACATTACTCAGGTACCTGCACTTAACTTAAGTGTTGCATTTGTGAGGGAGACACTGTAGTGCTATAATCATCTGATCGCTATAGCTACTTTGTACAATTAGCTTTAACATGCTCAACAGAGGCAAAACTCATTAAATATGATACTCTATATACTCCGCTGCATGGAATATTGCACTAAGCACCACTTAGACCATCGCAACATACCATACCAGGCGTGTCAAACATCTTCCAACCCTTCAGAATAAGCGCTGTAATTTTCTGTTTGTACTTCAGCTTGAGTCATTCTCTCAATGCAGAGTTGCTGCTTTTACTTAAAGCTCCACTAATTAATATTTTATGGTGCTAATTAATCAAATGGCAATGTGTAATGTGAAAGGGTTCATTCAGAGTGACAAACCAACAGAGACTCACCACCTAACTCCCTGGTCACAGACTTACAGGAGGGGAGAGTGAGGAGAAGATACTCCACCCTGGTCTCAACACAGATTCAACACTATCTGTTAACAGGGGAATTATTTGTTGCAAGGCTCTTGTATTGCACTGCACTGCATCACACAGGTGTTCATGATATTCTTTCTCACCAGCACATCATAAGCCCACTTCTTACCCAGCCATAGTCTGTGTGTATGTGTTTGGGGCTGCATTTTTTGCAACCTCAAATTCATTTAAAAAAAATACATACACAAACACAAGGACAGAAAAAGAAAATAGGGTGACACACAAAGCGACAGTGACATGACACTGTCATAACTATGACATGACATGACACGGTCATGAACCTGTCATAAACATTATGTACATGTCATAAACATTTATGACTGCTGTCATTAAGTGTCATGACAAGTTGACATTGTTTGGGTTGTCTTGATTATGACAACTTGACATTAATTAAAGTGACATTACCAGAAGATGTCTTTATCATGACAAGTTGACATTACATTTGTTTGGGATGTCCTTATTATGACAAGTTGACATTAACCAGGATGACATTACCAGAAGTTGTCTTTATGTTAATGTCAAGTTGTCATAATAAGGACATCCCAGGACATCCCAAACAAATTTAATGTCAACTTGTCAGCAGTTATAAATGTTTATGACTGCTGTCATTAAGTGTCATTCGGTTTTTGTAATGACAAGTTGACATTTTTTGGGTTGTCATGATTATGACAACTTGACATTAATAAAAGTGATATTACCAGAAGTTGTCTTTGTCATGACAACGTGACATTAAATTTGTTTGGGATGTCCTTATTATGACAACTTGACATTAACATAAAGACAACTTCTGGTAATGTCATCCTGGTTAATGTCAAGTTGTCATAATAAAGACATCCCAAACAAATTTAATGTCAACTTGTCATGACAAAGACAACTTCTGGTAATGTCACTTTGATTAATGTCAAGTTGTCATAATCAAGACAACCCAAACAATGTCAACTTGTCATTACAAAAACCGAATGACACTTAATGACAGCAGTCATAAACGTTTATGACATGTACATAATGTTTATGACAAGTTCATGACAGTGTCATATCATAGCTATGACAGTGTCATGTCACCCTCATGTAGATACCTTCAAGAAAAGTGTTACCGATAATTCTAAAGAAAGCAATAATAGAAAGACAACACATATACATGAAACAATGAATACATAATGAATATGTGATGGAAAGGAAGCAATGAAAGAATTAATATAAATAAAGTAAATATATAAATAAGTATTCAGCTGTTATAGTATGAGGTTGGGGGTGGCAGCAGATGTTAAGGGTTGGTTTATAGTTGAATGCGTAGATGTGTGCTGGTGGGGGCATCGGAAAGTCATTGTTTTCAATGTAAACACTCAGCAGGTGTGCTCAAACGCCAGAGCGACACCGTCGTGGCGCGCACACGTTCCCAAGCTCTTATTCTTATGGGTCTGAGATAAACAGAGTTCAACTTTTGGAACGCAGCAGTGCGCAATGCATGTCATGTGACGACGAACAACCAATTACAGCTGACAGACATCTTTCCCTTCTTTTGAAAATATCAGTCTGTGGTAAATATGGAGGTTAATCATTTTAGCGCAGGGCTGCCAGAGGATAATATATGTTAATATTTTTGGCCTAATACACACTGACAAAACAACGCCTGGAAGATCAGCCCTGCACTCAATGCAACCTGCCTCCATGCCCTTGAAAGCTGGCACAGAGTAGGCACAAGAGAAGCACCCAGCACCCAACCTCACGTTTAAAGACAAGGCATGTGTACGGCCTCTTAGTCTGTTTGCCTGCAACCATGTATTCGCAGTTCACCTGGTCGGATTGGTGTCCACATTGCATCCTCACTCATTGGTTCTCCTGCTCCCTCATTTGTCTCTCCTCTCCACTGTCTGAGAACTTCCTGGAAAGATTTTGCAGACTCCTCCTCGTTGTACTCTCCTCTAAGAAGAGAGGCGGAGAACCCCCTCTCATCCTCCCTTTTCTGCCCCTCTTTTATCAGCTCCACCTTTTGCTCCACTCTGTGATTCACAGCCGGCACCTGCAACAAACAGAATATCTCCTCATGTTAGTCAGTAATGAATGGCCAAAAATATGATATAAGGTTAAGAGGCTGGCCTAATGTATACAGATTTCATTAGTAAAGGTTAGCCTTAACATAAATCGAACTCTAGTCACACAAATCTTGTAACAGTAAAAACCTCATTTGTATGCCTGTGTACTTTACCTTTGCATGACTAAATATTCAGTGGTTGATGAGTGCAAAATAATGGAAGGGACAGTTAATGAGATTTTGAATGCCTCCGGACATCACTGCCTGCTGACTCTGCAGGCAAGGGCGAGGAAAATCGTGTTTTTAAGTTTGCATGCATGCAAGCCTGGCTGTGACCTTGGCTATACCTTTGTTGAGACACCATTAAAAATTGATGGGGAATTTTCTAAATGCATCTATCTTCATGTTAGACCTCTAAAAAGGAGTTGGGCTGGAAAAAACAAAAATTTCAAATGCTCTCAATGCAGTTCATACTCACAAGAAAACATGTCAAATGGTGTGATTGAGCATGAGGCCTTGAGTCATATTCATCAGAAGTAAAACACTTGAGCATAATTCATCGCATTACATACGTAAGAGTCACACTGAACAAGTCAAAATTAGTTGGCACTTGGCAATAGTTGTAATTTTCGAATCTCAAGCTTCTAAAAACCGTGTAGAAAACGACTCCTTCTCTTGAGCCGTCTGTAAAAGTAAAAGTATTATTGGAATTTTCAAATAGGAAATACCTCCTAGGAAAATCGGGTGTGATATTTACCCATTTATATATATTTTTAAAAGGAAGGTTTCAAAAATCTGGAGCAGTACACCGTGGAGTGGGTTCATGCTTGTACATATCCAGCCTGTTAATGCTAATTGCCAGTACTCAAACATATTAACCTCCCTGTTAACTCAGATAGTTGTAGCTGCTTCTCAGGTTGCTGGCATTTTGATGGGTCTTGACTCTATTCCACGTCTGAATTAATATATCAGTCGAGCACTATTTTGACATGAAAAGTATACCGATCTTCTCAGTACTGTCTGATCCCAACTGTTCGAAATGACTGCTGTGTGAAGAAGGTCAACTGAGCTCTGTGGTGTAAAGAGTCTGAAATGTCAATCTAACTGTTTTTGCCAGACCTAGACTGTTGGGGGGCATTTTTTAGTCTAAAGGTACATGCAGTTCACAAGCCTGCCTGTAGATACGGCCTGTGGATACAGCGTCAATTAGGTTTTGTTTGAAGGCTTTTCAATTGACTCACAGGGTGCAGAGGTAAAACTCACACGGTGCAAAGGCTTGTTTGACATGTTTCTGCTGTATTGTCACAGCGAGTGAACTACACATGGGGAGAATTTTCATTCGCGGGTCAATAACCATTTGAAAGAAATCACCTATTTTTACAAAATAATTGTTTGTGAAAGGAAATTTTTTTGTAATTTAAGATTCTGCACTGCTCCCTAGTATGAAATTAAAAATCAATTAAACTTGACGTAAGCACACAGAGCAGATTTGAAAGACAGATGAACCTGAAGTTGTAAAAGAAACAGCTGCATATCTGTATTCTTGACTTCTGATGCACTGATTTAACCCAGCGCTTTTTACATTTAAAGCTTTGACCTGATGCTCTTGTGGAGCGTAACCTTCAGTTCTGTTGTCAAAAGCTAACAACAGTAAGAGCCAAAAGGAAGGCCACATACTCAGACAGCATTGTTAATACACCGTCACTGGGAAAACATCTTTCATTCACAGCAATGACTCATCTTCTTATTATGACTGTTATTTCAATATTTTAAGACTTGCAAAAAGTCAATACAATCTACCTCACCCAGTGACATCAGAGCAGAATCTCATCTCATCATTGTTTAATGTGGTATATTATTATGTTGTACGTTGTTTGTGTGCTGCTTGTAAGTCAATGAACTATGTGTACAAGTACTGTACACGCTAATTAAGTGAGTCAGTGCATTTCCACACAATTGTATTCTTTATCCTAGACTCAGCCCTTCTTCACATATACAGTGCCTGCACTGGTGTTTGTGAGTACATAAATAACAGTAAAGATTACCACCTACCTGGCTGGGGTCAGGGTGCAATTGCATAGGTTTTGCCACAGCAGGACTTGTAAAGGTCTCGGGATAAGAGCTAGGGTTAATCTGTCTCTGGAAGCAGCTGACAACATCTCGAGTGCTCACATGGGTCTGTAAATCTGTCTGTAAAAGAAGGCCGCGGTGTATGAGATTAGATCAACATTGTTGTTGCCGAACAAAACGGCAGCAGCTGGCACTTTGTGAGAGATTCTTATAAATTCCCCAAATAAAATGAAATTAGTTGAATCAGAAGCAAGTGGGGGAAAAATGCATGCACTGTATAAAAGCAATAGATAATGCAGCATAAAATAAGACATTAGTCAGTTATATAGTCAGCATTTTGTTGGAGGAAAATAAAGCAACTTTGCAGAAGTTTTTAAGTGTGTGAACTACCTTGCACCAGGCGTCAACTGGTAAACTAACAACGTAGTGGAATCAGAACTAATGGTGTAACAAGTGGAAAATGTAGAGCAGCGAAACGCAGAGCAACATTTGGTCAATCATCCTTTTCAGTGAGAGGTAACATAGTCATTGTTAATTGTTTTTTGTCTCTGTTCTTATTTTGGTCTTCTCTTTGACTTTGTCTTTGTCCGTATTTTACTGTATATGCTGTGTTGTATCATTGTATAGAATTACTCCATGCTCAGTAATCTTACACTTACTGTTTTGATTCCAAAAGCCTAACCAGGGACAAGGGTAGAAAGCTGTATGCATTGCATCTACTTTGTATTTTACATATGAAGCAATTAGAGATGCACCGATCCAGCTTTTTCAGTTTCGATACCGATCCCGATGCTGTGGCTTTGAGTATCAACTGATACCCGATACTGATCTGATACCATGGTTGACCTAAAAAGCTTTATACCTTTACATGTAGAACAGAAAAGACTAGAGGCATCAGACATTGATGACTACACAGTTCTTTGCTAAGATAAAATGAAACAAGATGAAACAATGATGAACTATTTATTTTTCACAAAAATAAGCAATTGTGCAACAGCAGTTGAAACAGTGTGAAATACCTCCACACAGCAGATTCTCTCCTTCGTTCCATGACGTATGACGTAGCTCACGTCGCAATAGATTTAAAGGGAAAGGATTGCCTCAGATATAGGTTGCATTTTCCGATACCCGATCCATCTGTTTTGATGATATCAGGGCCGATATTTGATCTGGATATCGGATCGGTGCATCCCTAGAAGCAATGTCTTGTGCATTTGTCTTTGTCAAATAAACAAGTAAATAAATAAAAGCGCTTTACATGTTGCTGGAGGAGCAACCATGTGCCCGTCTTGTTTAGGTCGGGATGTGTGGACAGTAAAATCATTCCACGACCAGTAACCATGGATACCCAGAACCATCCAGAGGCATAGACAACAATAAAGCAGCAGCCAACAATGTAAGAAGAGGCAATAAAGGATTACATTACAGTGCACAAGTTAAAGGAGCTGATGGGGTCACAGGGGGTCGTAACTGATTGTGACATATAAATGACTGATTGATTGATTCATTCATTCATTCATTCATTGATTCATGCATTCATTCATTGAACAAGAGTGAGACTGCCTTCAGGGATCAACCAAGAAGAAGCGTCAAAGTGTAGACAAGAGATGAATCAGTCAAAAATGTCCACAAATTTTCGTACAATCAAGAATATTACCAAGTTCTGCTTCATTTACACTAACGACATGAAGGCAGTGAGATGAGGCCTCTACGGACAGCTGCCATGAACCTCATTTAGAGGCTACAACCTAATCATTTTAAGTGCTCATACCTACATCACTAGCATAACCTTGAAAGTCACGGTGATGAACTCAGTTTTATAGAGTTAATGTATGCACTTTTATTTCATGTAAATGAAACCACAGTGCAGAAGGACTCTAGTCACATGACCAAGCTGGTACCACACTTTATGTACATTGCCTTTACACTACATCCCATTTTAACCACAAAGCAATGAGGATCTATTGATAAAATCTATCCAATAACGCATCACGTACACATCCAGTCTCCTTGTCTTCCTTGAAAAAAATTCATTTACATATATGTGATCAGATATCTCCATACTTATGGACAAGAGAAAATGGGAGGCATGCTGCATGAGTGCTGATTGATTTTCTCTATTCCACAGGCTGAATTCATTATTCTGTTCCATTAATCACCATGGACCAGTTGGACTGTTTAGGTTAACCCGTCTGCAGACTATTATCCCGTCCTTGAAGGTGTCCGACAGAAACACGCAAACAAACGTGTCATGGAAATGTGGATCATGTGGAAGACAAGCTAGCCTAGGCTACAATATTTTGGTTATTTTATAATATATTTTATTGCCGGCCCCGAAGCCCCTTCACAGAGAGTCATGTGATGTAACAAAGCATGATCTTGAAGATGTCAAGCAACCTATTGATCATCGAGTAAAGTTTTAGCATCAATTTCATCCTAGAAACACAATCAAATTCTTAGTCTTATAAACCCCTTTGGCCCTTTCAACTTGTGGGTGTAATATCTGTCTAGCAATACGTACTAAACAGAAGGCATCATGCAGCTTAAGATCACCTCACGCCAGATATTTTCCCCTGCAGGACAGAAACACAATCATATGTTTCCTAGTTGGGAGTTCTTTGTTTACACCTATGATGGATTCTGCATCTGGTCTTGAACAGTTGTGCAAGGTAATAATGTCATTATGGATGGATGAATCTATGTACACCCAATCTGGCAAAGACAGAGACTTGTTCGTGGTCTGAAATATCTCCGGTCTCACTACTGATGAAAGCAGAGTGTGTTTCATTCAGTGACACTTTATGCATGTGTTGAATTAGTTCATTCAGTATCTTGTGGGAGGGAAGTTGCCCATGGCCATGAAAACTTTAAGAATCAAATCTTTGTCTGCAAACAATCCCACAAGCCCGGGGACATTACGCTCCTACTCTCAACACCCTCTGATGGCAAATCTTTGCATCGCAAGAGGTTTCAAACAAGCCTTCAGTTTTTCTCTATTGTTTTGGTCACCAGCCAAATGTGCTTACAGGTGCACATCAATGGACACTTAAGCCCTCGGTATGCTTCAAACTAAGAGCTGGTGAGATCATCTAAAAGCATCCGAAACTGCCTTTCTGGTGGTGTAACTGGAAGAGGCTGAGTCTGACAATTGTTTGTACCTTTCCCAACTATACAATCCAACAATCATACCATCTTTATAAAATAACCAGGTGTACAGAGGTCTAAGAGTAGCACCTTCTTTTTCAAGCTCTATTCTTCAGACAACTTCATGTGTACAACCAATTGTAACATAACAAATGCCTTCCAGCAGGCACAATTCAAGTGGGACACATGTTGCACAAGCTCTGAAAACTGTGCCATTTACAGTCCCAAATAGTCGGTGTTAAGACAGTACTTTGGGTTTATCCCTTTTTTTTTTAATCAGAAGATAAATGAATGGCAATGACACACACACATTTGACCACTACCTGCAATTATATTCTGGGTTGCTGTGTTTTGAGTTGCATGCATTATATTCAATTTGTGCGTATATTGTTGTAGAGTTATGGTTCGCTCTTGCATGTATTGTGTTGAATTCTAGTGTGTAGTTCCTCTTGTGATTTGGCCACAGCCATGAGCGAAATAGATCACACCTGTAGCACAGCGACAAGAGAATATTACTGGCAAGACAAAACAGAGCGATAGAGTGAAGCAGACGGGCAAAGAGAAAGAGACACAGACGGCGTGAGACCGGGGAACAATGGGACTAGGGAGCAGTGTTACCGCGGCCTGTGGTCACAGGTGAGGACAGCGCGCATGTGGTGACTGATTTGTGTGTGTATCTCTCTCAGCATACCTATAGCCCTGCCGTGATGGATTCGCAGTGGACATGGAGGAAGAAGGCCAAGCAGTGTTAGCACACCATGGTGACCTCAGGCATCAACAACATTGTTCCCCCTACACACTAGCCAGCTGTGGAACCACAGCTACTAGACAACACAAGAGACAGAGAGAGCAAAGCAGGCGGACGCAGTCGCAAAGTAGAATATGACAGGCAGTCCAAAGAACTGAGCCCACGAGCAGTTAAGGGCCTACTCATTCAGGCAAGCTACACACGGTCTGGACGGCTATGGTGTGCTGCCCAGACAAAGTGTAAGAAGCCTACAGCAGGAGAGGGCGGGTGAGGAGTAAAAACTAGTGCTGGGCTTGTTTTCTTATACCAGATCTGGTGAGGACGCCAGGGGACACGCTTTCTCACTCAACTAGCTGCTTGATGGGCATAACCAGTTACCATAATAGCAGTTACAGAGTCGTAAACTGTAGAATGGTTTGTTTACAAAGTGGCTGGACAATAGGAAGCGGTGACCAACTTGCAATGGACTCTGTGTCTTCAAAAAGGCTTCTGCTGTTAATCTTTTACTGTTAAAGCCTTGTTTTGCTGCTTGTATTACTAACCCAGTATGTGCACAGTATTTATGGAACAGTTTGTGAATAAATTATTCAACCTGACTCTTTGTACACTTGGGTAATTCCTTCTGCCCACTACTTTAAAATTGCACACAAGTCCTTGGCTCTTTCCTCGTGGCATTGTCACGGCCTAACATTTGGCAATGTGTTGGCTTGTTCCCTAGATTCTCTGACTACAATACAGTTCTTTCTATGCACAATTCAGAGTTGACATAAACGCAGGGAGAGGGGATTATTAGCATGATTATGGTGACCTTGGGTGTGTGATGCTGTGCTGTATGTCCAGTCTGAGATCTGTCATAAATAATTCAAATGGCATTAATCCAAACACTCAGATGGGTTTGTGTTCACAACGTCAGATAAAAAAAAAAACATTGGCCTTGTATCTAGGAACTGTGGGCCTGCTAAATAATGCTTCCTACAATAAATGCAAATCCTGCTGGTGCTACCTAGTATATTTGTGGACAGCCCATACTATACCAGCTCTAAGATAATGTTCAGCAGTTGAACAACACCTTAACCTTGAGAAGGAGATGAATGGGGTTTGCAACGAGAGACAATGCAGTTAATCAGATTATTTAAATGATATCAGCTATGTGTGCTAATGTAAATTTTGAATATTGCTATATGACTAAACTCACCTGACATCAGAATTGTTTTGATACAGCGTGCCACGCCCATCTGGTACCGGTTAAGCTGAATCAAATACCAAGAATGCTCTGCAAACATTAATTGAGCCAGGTTTGTGTGTGTGTGTGTGTGTGTGTGAAACACGATCTGATGAAGCACTGACGAAAGCCCCAACACAGCGTACTGCTGAAATTAATATTCTTTTTGTCTTCCTGACTCCCATTCGCTGTCTCTCCCTCCCTCATTCTTTCCAAGGCAAACGAAACAGGATTAGCAGAGGAGAGAGAGATGCCTGCGTCAGCTGCATGTGTATAATCCCCGGTCTTTATGTCCTGCCAAAATACACAGTTTTGCATGTGTGATTGAATAAGAGTCTGCATGTGTGTGTGTGTGTGCTTGAAACTGAGAGAGCAGAGAGGAACACTGAGGACATATAAAGACACAGAGAGCTGCCCTGTGTGGTTTCAGGAAGCTCTTTCTACATGTATTCTGTTTGTCAGTATGTATGACTTTGTTCCACCTTGGTGGCTATGCAGTAACATAATAGTCACTTGACTCAACCAGCAGCAGTCAGGTAGACACAAACACTGAAGAATGAGCTGTCTACATAAGCCAAGCAACACTGCATAAAGGCTGGTTAATGGTGTGCTGCTCTGTGTGTAATCACACAAAAATAGCTTCGACATAGCTACGCAAAGAAATGTATAGGTGCATATACAGTCATATAGACGTGCACAAATGCACACCGTATTACACATATAAATCATCCATGCAGCCATATCCATGCACACTCACAAAGCCCACATCGCAGCACAGTGGATCTCTCTGTGAGCACTTCTAGATGAAAATAATAGCACCCAAGAACACAGTCATATGAAAAGAAGAAGGCGAAATCACACACATCCTAGGAGGGGAAAAAATGTACAGCTAGCAGAAAACAGAGGATGCACATAAGCCGAGAGTACATGGAGGAGCTCCATAAAACATAGATACCAGTACACACACGTGAACACCAGTAACCGTAACAAAACTCCCATAGTGTATGAATTTAAAAACATGCCTTCTGCACATAATAAACACAAACACAGGTGTAAGGGGAAAAAGTTCATGCTGCAGAGACTTGTGCATTACGCATGAGTACCTGAGCTGTCAGTCTTAGCTTAGTTAATTATGGAGACCGAAACGGCTTGGTCTTGCAATCAAATGGGTTACCACGGTTATTAGGGGTGTAAACCACTAGTTTCATCATATGATATTATATAGATTCTTTGGACAACGATATGGTATTTGCCGATATCACAAAGTCTGTTGCAATGCAATTCAGTGGCAAGAAATCTACATGAGACAATATTATATGCCTGCTTAACACAATCAGTTACAGAAGAAGCTGCCGCCCCTTTCTTTTTTGCTTTTTGCTATAAAGATAAAAATAAGCACGCACGCTTTTTCAGTCTAATATTGTTGAAACAGAACAGCTAATGTTGCTGTAGTGAGATGCCCGACCAGACAGGTACATCCTGTTTCCTGAGTATTTTAGCTTGTAACAGAATTGTTGACACGTGACATGCTTTGTCTGTCGACCCTAATTTTCTCTGACGTTGAAAATATTTCCACACTGCTTTTTTATTTCCGAATAAACAACATTATCCTTATCATCTTTTTCTTGGCTGCTTGCCTGCTGCTGTTTGACGATGATGCAGAAATCCAAAATAAAGGCGTATCCTCAAGATAATGATACGGATCGATGTTTTTCTTTTACTTTGCATCGATGATATTGAATCATTGATCACTGACTGGATATATTAATCCAGATTGGTGAATCGTTGCAACCCTAACAGTTGTAAGCAGCAGTGGACCTGATAGCAGTTAGTGCTTCTAAAGCTTGTTGAAAACACTGGTATACACTCCAACTTTAAAGAATGAGTTCATTTGAGAAGCAGCTGTTTTAAGCAAAGCCTACTTAAGCAAGCAAATTAGTGCTTTTGATGTCAACGAGGCAACAGTATGTTTACTAGCTGGTTAAAACTTCCTATCTCGGGCGACAGACAAACGCTGCTGCGGAAACAGAGCAATAAAAAAAGAGCAATGTCTGCTTAACACCACACATTATGCAGTGCAAATTTAACATGATTTTAATTTAATTTATAAATAAGGTCATTTTAAAAATCCATACACTAAAAGGGTGTTTTAGCAACTCAGCACACTGTATTTCTTTATGAGCGTTTGGAAAAATGAGGTTCCCCTAATGAAAATGCTTCCCATACAAATTTGGGTTGATAGGACATTGCTTAATAAATACAACCCATTGTTTGAGAGTGTGTGTGTGTGTGTGTGTGTGTGTGTGTGTGTGTGTGTGTGTGTGTGCTTACAGCTTGTGTCCTGTATTCTACTCCCAGTGCATAGTGAATTTACAGCATATAGATCTGTGTATGTGTTATCTGCATTCATAAGCACTCACTGAGGGGGTTTGAGAATTACGAGTTGTGTGTAGATTTGTGCCTGCAGATGTTAACGTGTTAAATTACCATAATATTTTTCTATCATATATATAATAGCCGGGAACAATATATACTTCCAAAAAGTTCCAACATCATTCTATCCTCTTATTAAATGCCTGCTTTTATATATTTCTTTATCAAGATTAACTTCATAAATGGAGGCGCAAACTAGAGTCCTTACATTTGTCATCCATGATCCTTTATAATCATCATTAGTCAAATTACTCGACACATTCTTGGCAGATGTACTGCAGAATCTTTTTCCCTTCATGTGGATCCAACACAAGTGTGTTGGCTTAATTAAACTCTCTGACAATGACCTGCTGTCTTGTCTCTCCGTCTTATCTTTGACTAAAGATTGCTGTTGCTGGTCTTGGGTTGACTGTTGCCTGAGGCCTGTTCTCTGCTCTCTGTCTAAATGTGAGTGTGTGTGTGTGTGTGTGTGTGTATGTGCATGCGTGCATATGAGTAACCAGAAAAGGCATTTGTTATCAACCAATTTGCTAATGAGGGACATCCATTTTGTTATCAGGTAGAAGGACGCAGCAAACCTGCAGCAGCACAACACACACAGAGACTCATTCGCACATTCTGTGCAGCCTTTCAGATAATTATGTGTGTGTGCATGCACATACAGAAGTGCGATTGGGTGCAGAAAGACAGAAAGGGGGGAAAAAGACGAGAAGTTGAGATAAGTAGAGACGGTGGTCGGGGTTGCAAGCAATGCAAACGACAGAATGAGTGAAGCAGGAGGAGAATGGGATCAGAAGGGGTATTATTGAAAGTATCTGTGCAGGAGAAAGAGAGACAGAGAGAAACAGACAGAGACACAGTCACAGAGAGGAGAGGAGATAGACTTGATGCTCGTGGGACCGTGCTCACCTGAATGGGGACCATTCTGTGGAGCTTCAGTGCTCCCTTCTGGTGGAATTTGGTAAAGCAGCCGATGCAGTAGTCCTCTGTGCATTCAGTACACATCTGCAAAACAGGGATGCACAGTTATGTCAGTGTGTTTATATGTTTGTGTGCATACATCGTGTGTGCATTAATGCATGTACATCTGTGTGTTTGTGCAAACGTGCAAGACACGGATCTGAAGATTTGTGTGCTTGTATGTTTGTGCGTCTTACAGAAGCATAAGATTGACAAAGAGTGATCATGTAGGTGCATGTATAGTATGTGCATGTGCACATGTGTGTAACTACCTGCGCTGACGAGCAGAAGCTTTAGTAATATTTGTTAAAGATTTACACCTAAAGTCGGATATCTTTCCCTCCTCTACCTCAACCTTGCCAAACTTTGACAGGAGGGATGAATATTGAAATGGATTCTCTGGCAGGATGCTGCAGTGTGTGTGTGTGTGTGTGTGTGTGTGTGTGCGCAAGCTTGAGAGAGAGTGCATGGGAGGGACTGTCTGTGTGTACATGTAATGCATTTGTGCTAAGTGTGTGTGTGTGCTGTGTATTTGAGTGTGTGTGTGTGAGTGAATGCATCTTAAGGGAGGTCATTATCATTTCTATCTGTGAGAATCCGGTCTTATTAGTGGGGAAAAGTCCTTGCATCAGCATGTTGGGAAGATAGGCCTAGACCGGGTGGCCGGAGCACACAGGCGAGGCCAGAAGGAGACAGTGAATTAGAAAGGAGGATATGTGGAAGAGGGTTGTCGGTGGGGGCGTGGGGGGTGGGCAAGGCTTCTTAAAATTCATAAACAACAAACAGTCAAGAATCAGCCAACATTTGTTTGGTTCCCTCTGTTTAACATGCAGGTTTATTTTTCAGTTATGGCCCACGGTTTCATCATCAATACCATGTCAAATTCAGAAAGTATAGTTAAGTGCGCTCTGTGAGGGAGGAGTACAATTCCCACAGTGGGACTTCAACTGTTTTTTGTGACTGTGTTTTCTTTCTGAATCCAACAATTTATATTCCTTCTTAGTCCCTTTCTAGCTACTTTTTACCTGTTATTCTGAGCTTAATGTAATATATAATTGAGCTAAACAAGGCAATACAATAAACAGAACCACTGCAGTGTTCCATACAAATTCACTGTGAATCAACAGAGGTCTTACAGTGCAATTTTCAACCAGCAAATTCACCAATTAATCCTGTTCCTTTCTTTTTTACTCTTTAATCTCATCTTCTGTCCCTTTTACTTCATTATGTATTAATGAATGCAATTATTTTTAACATTAGGTTAAGTCTCTTTTGCCCTTTACTTCTTTCTCACACATACCAGCCTGTGTGTGTGTGAGTGTTTGTGTGCAGTCACATCAGTGGTGCCACCAAGAGGTGGCCATGGGGGGACCATGACCACCATGATTTGCATTCCAGTAAATGTTTTGTTCCTTACAATTAATAGTCATTCATTTATTTTCCATAATCACTTATCCTGTTGGGGGTCGCGGGGGGGCTGGAGCCTATCCCAGCTGACATTGGGCGAGAGGCGGGTACACCCTGGACAGGTCGCCAGACTATCACAGGGCTGACACAGAGAGATAGACAACCATTCACACTCACATTCACACATACAGGCAATTTAGAGTCACCAATTAACCTGCATGTCTTTGGACTGTGGGAGGAAACCGGAGTACCTGGAGAGAAAACCCACGCTGACACTCCCTCCCAAGGAACCCTCTTGCTGTGAGGTGACAACCAGCTTATTTAAAGAACATTTAATCACCTAACATACGTATATAAAGATAAATAATAGCTCAAAATGGGGTTGGTGTGTAATTCATAATGTTAACTTTAATGTTAATGTTAAGAAACCAATGTATATCAGTATGCAAATCTTTAACCCTCGTACTGACATGGTTTTCAACTAACCTCCACTACAGCAACATATTAGAATTCCTAAAATTCCTTTACTGCTTTTGGTTTTGGTGTGTCACCCCAACATTCTCTGTGTCCCCATATAACCACCCCTATGAAAAGATTCAGGGGGTGCCACTGATTCACATGCAAGTCTACAGCTGCGACATTGCCCTTTAATGGTCCCATAAAGCAGGGCCTCATTTCCCCTCTCAGGCCTGAGGATAAATTACAGCCACTCCCCAGGGACTAGGCATCCCTATCAGACTGCAAGCAGCATATCACTGCGCTCTCCTGTGCTACACAGGAGGAAATGAGGTCCTTTTTTTTTTGCCTGGATGACTCTGGAATACTGCACATGGCTAGACAGGTAGTGTGTGCGTGTGTGCACATGTGAGTTTGATAGTGTTTGTGCCAGTATGTGTGAGTCATAGTTTAAAAAAAGCCCAGATGTGTATATGACTGTGTGTGAGTGCCGTGTGTGTGTGTGTATACACGCTTATTTGTGTGCTTAAGTGCAGCTCCAGACAGAATGGCAGGGACAGAGTCGTAACACTTTCCATTATTGCCATCATTATAGGGCACAAGGGCTATCCAAAACGTGTGTGTGTGTGCGTGTGTGCGTTAGTGGACTGTGTGTATTTGTGTGTGTGTTTAGCCTATGTGCTTGCCCAGACTACTATAAGCATTGCCATTAAGCCCATCACTATGGGGCATCGGGGGCACTGGGCCCTTCATTGGACAATTCAGCGCCATCATCATCAAATGCACTATCAAGCAAATTACCACATTACATTTTAACGTAATGTGTGTGGTGCACTTAAAATAACTTATTCCACAACAAAAGGGGCAGAAAAATGGTAGCTGTCAGCTCAATCAGTTCAACCCCTCCCTCTCCTTCATTCCCTCTATCAATCTCTCCCTCTCCCTCATCGCTCTCATTCCCTCTCTCTTACTGTCTCTCAGCAGCATCAGTTATTCAATACTAAACTCCGCTGGCTTTGCGGTCAGACGTAGGATACGAATTACACACCGGTGGCCGAGGATCTAGAAGGCGGGGATGTGTGTGTGACTGGTCATCAAGCATGTATTACTCGCCTCAGTTTGCCACAGTCCATTATACACACACATACACACACACAAACACACACACAAACACACAGTAATCATTTCTCTCTGTCTCTCTGTCTCTCTTCCTCTCGTCCACACGTACAGTTGCAGGCCACGGTCCCTCCTCCTGTGTAACAGTTGATGAAGCGCGAGGAAGAATAAACAATGGTGCCCTCAGAGGTCTCCAGTATCGATGAATGGATCTGGCTAAACTGTTATCAGTGCAAACACAAACACACAGATAGACCAACAGATAGGACAGCAGAGGCACGGCAAGAGAAAGAGACAGAGGCAGGGAGAGGAGAGGAAAGAAAGAAAGAAAGAATATGTGACGCAAAGACAACGAGGTAAGCAGGATGGGAGATAGCAGGTATCTGAATGACAAAGGGAGATAAAAGCTGATGCAGGAGTAAGAGAAAGAACAGAAATATAGACAGAGACAGAGGGCAGAGTGGAAGGTAAAGCAGCAGAAACAAATTAACACAGAAAAATGGAAAGTGATTGACATGTAGGAAAAAAAGACGGAAGAGAGATGGAAAATGAGAATTTCTTAATTTTAGCAAGAGTGTAGGTCAAGTAATTTGACTCCTTATTTGACAGCCGAATGCTAAAAACTCTGTAGATTCACTACTAAAATCTGTGTGTACAGAAAGACAGAAATGTGCGTTCTTTTCATTGGATTTATAAAGCCTTATAAAGCTGCACAAGCCTCATTTCCTCGCCAACAGACAGCCGTAAATGAATGGGAAGTTTCGGCCCCCAGATAAAGCTGCAGAGTGAGTGCTTCTCGCTTTCAAGCTGTGCTCAGGTACAGGCAGCTGCAGACCCACACCCAGGTTGAGCCTGCCCAGTGAGGCTCTGAGATACAGTAACATTCTTTTGTGTTGTGTGTTTGATATGTAGTGTTGGGCTGGGCGATATGTCCTGAAAATTATATCACGATATTTTTAGGCTATATCTCGATACACGATATATATATCTTGATATTTTTAAATCTCCTCAAAACACTTCATTCATAGCCTGGAAATCCAGACTCAAATCTAGAAAGATTTTGAGTCTGGCCCTCATAGATACACCCTTCCTACCCAAGGGGCGGCACTAACTGAGGCATATTAAATGCCGCTGCCGCACGCAATTGGATAGCACAATGGCCAATCAGAGCAAAAAACAAGGTTACGTATTCATTGCAGTTAGCCCCGTTGGTTTGCCAACCAGTGGGTCTAACTGATATATTATGCTTCTGCCGTATCCCGTCGGCAAAATGGCAAAAACATCCTTCCTGGAAGCGAAAGCTTCTATGGCAGTCTTCTGTTCCTCTCTCAAGGAAAAAGATAAGTGTAGTTGGCTTAGCGTTTCTTCCAAAGCTAAACTGAATGGACGCGGTCCTTCTGCAGCTGCCATCTTGGCTGTTTTCTTTTAGACTCCTACGACACAGCGCTGTCGTCATCATGTTACACTGCCCAGAGCCCACCTCTGTCAGATAGACTGATCTGATTGGTCCAATTTGCCATTCAACGGGCTCTGCTCGTCGGGTCCAGATTCCTGTGCAGTGCAAATTTGAATTTGTTAGGGGCGGGGCATCTGGATTTCCAGAGTACTTCATTCAATATTTCTGACCAAATACCCTCCCTGATGTAAAAAAGTTGTAGGGATTACTATTCTTGTTTTTTTTATTCCCTGAAAAAATAACGCAATGAGATTGTTGATCAGTAATCATCAATAATGTGGATATAATGACTAAGTGGTTTAAGGCAAGCATTAAAACAAAAAGTCTGGTAAGTTGATAAATTTACATCACTACTGTAATGCAGCTTTTAAAACGAGGGAAAGAACACAACCTATGCCATATCACAATACAACCATATCCAAAATTTAAGACGATATTTAGTCTCGATAATGATAAAATATCTTCATACTGACCACCTTGATCTAATGCTGGCCAAAAAAAATGCTGTTGCATATTTTCAATCTGTCGTTAGCATAGTCAACACACATTAGCTCGGAGGGCTAACTTGGCTTGTCAACTGGATTACGTGAATGCCGCTGTCGCCCTAAAAATCTGCTCAAACTCTTAACGAATAGTCCAATATTCCTATTGAACATCCAAATCCGATTCCACTGACATAATTCTGTGTCTAGTATAGCTCTAGTAAAAACACCCTAGATGTACGTTTGCATATCGATATTTGTGTCTGCTCCACCACTCATTTAGCTTGTCAATAAGAAGAACAGCACAATGCAACGTCACAAACTGTGTGACAACAGTGATGTTCTGGCAGCTCAACAGCTGTCATTACACACAACCATTTTGCACAGCTGTACTACTTACAGTGCTAAAACCACTAATTCATCACATCACCTCTATCCAAAACATCTCAATCATCATATTAAGCATCACAAAGATGTTCAATGATTCATTTATGGATTTATTATTGAAACAGACTAGAGTGCTTCACAGCTCACAATTAAATGAAAAGATTAACAGGGAAATAACGGCTCAAATGTAAATAAAAAGAATGATACATTCTTCACTCATAAATAATTTAAAATTAAGTTTATAAATGTGCCTTTGACATTGACAGGGCTGTTCAGATTGCATACAATCCATACAAACTGTGTTTTACTACAAGGTTACATCCATATACTATCCATGGTTACGACACATTGTCACCACAGATCTTTAATAATTACCAGTTCATGTGTGGGAAATGGCATCATATGCATGCTTTTTGTGCAAACATGAATCATCATTTATACATCTGGCCCCTGGTATTATTAAGTATGCATAAGTGTGTGTGCATGTAACTATCAATGTAAAATCAATTTACAAACAAACCTACAAATAAAGATTTTGTCTGAGCTTGTTTTTCCTCATCAGAGACCTAAAGCATGCATGCCTCCAGAGGAGCGGTGTTTGTCTTTTTGTCAGTTGAAAAGCCTGCAAGGTGAATGTTTGATGAGTGTTACTGGGCTTTCTGTCCAGAGAGAGAATTCTTAAACTGCCCAACACTAGAGTTGCAAAGATTTCAGCTATGCAGTGCCTTCTGTGCTTGTTCACTTGTTTGTGTGCTTACCACGCCTGCAGTCTTGACTTCACACTGTCCACAGTATTTCCCCTTCAGCCTATTCTTTCTTGTCATCAGAAGACTGACAGTAGGGTTTGGAGGTGGAGGTGGTGGCTGAGGTGGGGCTGAACAGAACAAGTATACTGTTGTTAACACTTGGCAAGGGGATATCCTTTAACTTTATGGACATTGAAAGGATATTTACATATTTTATTAACTGACCTCCTAGCTAGTCCAACAATGATTCAGTGACAAACAGAAACAATGTCAAAAATACACAATAGATATGCTTGTGTTTTTCGTGCAAAAACCATGAACAATTAAAGGTTATTAAAGGTCAACTATATGGAGTTATCAGCCACTGTTGTAAAAGGTTTTGTGGAGTAAATGACAACAAAACAAAACGGTTATATCACCTATTACAATTATGACTACTCGTATAAAAAGTCCGTCCTTTTAAAAGTGCATTTACTGTTGCTGTGTGGCTGTGTGGCTGTGTGATTTTTTGCCTCAGGCATGTTCAAAACATTAATAATTCTGCCAAGGTTGGCCACTGGTTACAGAGATCAATCTTTAACAAGAGATCTCCACAGTCAGGCACCTGTGATGACAAGTATCCACCTTACTGAAGTAACCGTGTGCAAGACACTGAACCCCTACCAGTTTCCAGGGTGCTGCTCTGCAGCTGCTCTTGAATGCTAACCTCCACGCGGAGGGCACAAAGAACTTCAGTACGGGGTAATGTTTCAAAGGACCCACGATTTTCGAGAACACATCCGTGTCAAGCCGACCTGGTGCAGGTAAGCCACAGCTGAAGCCGAGGCTGTGACTGTAAACTACTCACCTGTCAGCGGTTCATCCTTCAGCACTCGGATCTTCACCTTGCCTGCTGACAGCTGTTGGGGAGACAGGAAGTGACACATCAGTGGCAAGAGTCTGTGTGAGCTCTTTGTTTATGTGTTTATATATAGGTTTCAGTATGGCTGGTATGTTTGAAGTAATACAAGCTTAGATGAGGGATTTCAGTATAAAAATAGTAATAACCCATTCTTCAGTTCAATCATTCTTGTTCCTCTTTAATCTCAGGGAGTATAACCTTTAGAAAAGGAGACTTTTTCTGGTATAAACTCAAAGGCTTAAGGGTTTCCCCCCCTGAAATATAGGGTACAAGCTTATCTAATCAAGGTGCAAAGTGCAATCTCAAGTCTGCAATACACAGTGCACTTAATGAGTAGTTGTACACTTTTGGTATGTTTATAGACCCAGGCACATGGTGCATCCACAGCATATATAGAAACAGAAATTAGGAGACATCTATCACAGTTGATGTAACCCTTAAGGTCACAACCTACAAGGAAAAGCTTCTTGAGGTTTAAGGAATGCGACTAGACAACAAGAAATGTTTATTCGTTTTCAGTGGTAATTAGCATGGCAACAAATGTGTAAGCTAAGTCACTAAATATCAGAATAATCTTACATAGACGCCCTTTTTTAATGCACAAGTTTGAAACTACTTTTTTACCTTCAAAAACTACCCTCAAAATCATTTTAATGATACACTGATTTGTAAGAGGGAGAATGGCACCTCTTAATGGCAACTCCACACCACAAACACTTGTTCCAGAACAATGTATAGACATCAAGGCAGAGGTGAAGAACTGTTGTTGTAAAAAATCAAAACCTAATACACCGTTTAGCCTGGCATGAATTATACATTGTAATGGAGCAAAGTAATGGAAACTGTTTACACTGTTCTGACAAATGCTCTAGTGATCTGTCTCAAAGCTAACAGGAAAACAACAACAATCTGACAACAGAGTGTACATCCCTGCCAATGCCCAGTGCTTTCCAAACACTCATTAATTTGTGGCAGCCTGCCATAATATTAACATGACAGCCAGCGCAAACCCCTGGTAGCACGCTGCAGCACTGAGTCTAACCTGTGTAACAGCAGCAACAGAAAGTTTCCTGATCTGGTAGGGAGTCATGAATTTGTGTTCCTAACGCCATCAACTGAAGGTCCATATTTACATCGGTGGTGTGCCACTCCGAAAGTAGGGATGCCAAATTGCAAAAATACCAATTCTTGCATAATGTTGCTTTAACACATCAGCTGGGGAATATTAAAATATGCACATCATGTAGGTTCAAGGCTATCAAAAACAGCATACAGTGATGAAAAAAGTAACGCTTGCACGCTTACTCCTTGCCACACAAGTTTAATGAAGACAAAGTTTCGATCCTACTTGGATATTCATCAGGTCAAAATGTTTTACAAGTTGGAACCACAACTATATTTATACATAATGCACATCAACGGTTGACAGGTTCAGTGGTGGCAGGTGTGGTTAACCATGTCAATCAACAACTCAATAAAATACAGGTAGAAAACGCAAGGGAAAAACATAGAAAAATGTACAAGGGAAACAACAGTACTTTTTTATGTATTTCATTTTGATTGTCAATTGATGTGTCATACACACATCTGCAGATGTATAATTAGAATTCTTTTGTACCTTTTGGAGTGTGTTCTCCTTGGTCTTCTTGGCGCTGTTTGTTACAGCATTGCTGTTTAAAGAGCCACGCTGGCCAGACTTCCATCTAAACCCTCCAGAATGCCTAAACAGACAAAAAGACAAATGAGGGGAGAGAAAGGGTTTGTCTTTGGTGAGGTAAGCCAACAATCTTGAAATATAATCCCTTTGACTTTGACATGCATACTTCATCTATGGTATCATAGCTACCAAGATCTACAAGTATCAATAGGTATCATATTTCAGAAACTGTGATTACATCTGTTTCTGTGCTTGTTTTGATTTTTGTTTTCTGCCTTTTTTCTTTTGCAAAGACATAAGCATGTTCATGAAATGTAACAGTCCCTCAGGTATTCATTTTACATTAGAGGATCTGGGTATGGGAGCTAAAACCTTAGCAATCCTTCATAAATAACAATGTAATATAAGCACAAGCAGGGTTTTGTTGTATCTGTTGACGTAGCATACAGTATATATGAATAAAGCATAGTGAATGGAGAAGATTAATTTCTTTACCACACAAAAGAATAGAATAAAATCATCCTTAAACTGTATTAGACTTGTAGGATTTAGAAAAAAACTGCAGTGCTAACACCTTGCCGTTCCTGCATTTCCAATAGGGCAAAAGTAAAGCAGGATAAATTTAACAAAAGTCAGGATTATTGCATTTTAATCCATTGAAGTACCAAAGTAGACTGAAGCATTTTAATAACGGTTCCAAGGTTTAAGTAGAGGAGAAGGCACTGATGTCAAGAAAAAGGAAAATAACATCAGCATGAAAAAGGTGTAACAGCCCCACGTAACTTAATCCCTAAATCCATGACGGAAAAAAAAGTAAAAGGAAATTAAGAAAATCACTTTGTTCCATTGAACAGAGCAGAGTGTTTAATTTATCACAACATGGTCCTTGTGTTAAGAGGAATAAGAGCAGCAAGGCAAAGCTCTTTGCCACTTGCCTTTACACACACACAAGAGTTTGGCTTTACCAACATAAACTGTGCGCATATACAATGTCATATAGCCCAAATTGTCACACCATGTGATTCAGTCAAAGGCCAAAACGATTTTTTTAACTTGCTGCAGACAATAGAGGTCTATTCAATCTCACATTAAAACAGAACATGAAAGGTTCTGTTTTAATGTGAGATTAAAACAGAACATGAAAGGTTAAAGGGGTTATACCTGCTAAAACAAACACACACAGGCATCGATACAGATAAAAAAAAAGACAAGAATATGAATGCAAATGCAAACACACATGCATGCACATACACACACACACACGCATGCAGGACGCTCCTGTCAGTTGCAGAAAGTGAAGAAATGGAGAGGGATCCTCATTTAGACGTGAGTTATTCATGCTCATGTTGTTGAATTATTTATGCTATTTATGCTATTGTGATGTCTGGCTGTCTTTGAAAGAAGTTTATTTTGGATTGAGCTGGCAGCCTGTCAAGGCACAGGAAGTCAGACTCTATTTGTGTGTGCGTGAGAGTGTGCGTCTCTCTGCATTTGTGTGTGTATGTGATGGCAAGAGTTGCCAACACCCCTGACGCCATCGCTGTGCTGTGCTGACACTGAGGGTGGGCGTCAGGTAATCACCCTGGCGACATCACCTTGGCAACTGGACTGTCGCTAGGGGAGACAGTTGAGGCACACCCGTGTCGGTGCAGGATGACAGGGTGTCCCCTCAGGACAGGCAACCTGGAGAGATAAAGTGTGTGTGTCTGTTTGTGCACCTCTGTGGACTCTGCATTAGTGACGATCTCATTATCCACACAGAGACACACTCGGCGACACCCACACACGTGTGTGTGAGTAAACAAAAACACACTTCGAAATAATAATGGCTTAAAGTTGTTTTTAGAAACGTAAAGATACTGACACATTCCCACAGTAAATGTTTCGCTGTCTTACAAACACACACACACACACACACACACACACACACACATACACACACACTACCATCTCCAACTATTGCACTGACTGTGAGTGGTGCTGGCAGACCACTGCAAACTGCAAAAATTAATCTGCACAACTAAAGTTTTTTAACACTTTTAACTAACAGTAACAGTGTGCTTATATATATGTGTGTGTGTGTGTGTGTGTGTGTGTATGTGTGTGTGTTTAAGGGAGTTAGTGAGAGAAAGAGATTTTGTCAGTCTGTGTAAAGCCAGCCATGCAGTGAGAATGACATGCAGTGACCTGACCACACCTGTTACGCAGAGAAAATCACATAAATAGACACGTGCACACTCACACGCTGCCGCGCACCTTTTACCGTCTCGCGGATGGATAGCAGACGACAACCTCTGAGTCACAACTTGCATATTGGAAACAAACATCAAACGCGACACCAAATGCCACCTCGTCAAAGAACATTTCTTCATCAAAGTCAAAGCAGACGAAACACAGTGAGGAGCACTGTTTCACATTAGCTTGGAGCGAGCTCACATTTGGAAGTGATAAACAGATACAGTATATTGTAAGGACAGGAGAAGAGACGGCAAATGATTCGACGTTAACCCAAGGCAAACAACGACTGTCGTACCTTGACACACTCGTGTCTAACGCGAGGCTATCACCTTTAACTGACCCATCTCACCCAAAGGGAGAAGTGACAACATCTGCACCTGCATGCGCACACATACGCAAATGCACACACACTCTGACGTCTAAGGCCAAAGTGATCAAGTCCACTCTCAAATCCCTCTCTCATTTGCCCTTTTTAAATAGGAATTGTGCAAATTTGCAGGAAAGCCCAATCAGTCTTCGTCCAGCATTGGCAGTATAAAAACAAAACTGGGGAGTGCAGCAAAATGCTGCCTACCTACTTTTGTTCATACAGAAGTGACAGTTAATGGCCTCTTCGTTTGCGGGGGCAAGGAGGGCGTGCAATTCCTTGTCTCCCCAGTTGCTCATCTTTACAGTGTCTGTCAGGTTTGCGTTTCCCTCTTGCTACTAGCTGCTCATTCCTGCTATCAGCTGTTTCCTGTTAGTCCACCGCCAGTGGGTCGCATGTGCGGCGTCATCAACAGCTCCTCTCACAAGTCATCAACAGCTCCTCCCGTGGCGGAAGGCCGCCTCATTCTTTTTAAACCAAAAAGGTTCCGCCGATATGTTTACCCCTCCGCGGCGGAAAATTGGGCACCTCGGATCAACTCGCCAATCCTGTTACGTGTGTCTAAACACTCGCAGCTTGCTGGCAAAACGGCCCAACATTCGCGGAAAATCTGGCAGTGTAAAAAGGGCTAGTGTGAGACAAGAGGATAGGGCAAAAACAGGGTCGAAACCGGAGAGAAACTTAGCAAAGACACAAATGTTCACACATTTTAGTCCAGCATGAAAAGTGTCAGGTTGCAGAGTCAACACATGTATGTACGTGGACTAAACAGGTGCTAGGAGGAGCCAAACGAACCAAATTAAAAGTAAAAATGGAGATTAAAGAAAATAGGACTAACGTAAAGGATGGCAAAAGAGTCAAACAGGGACAAAAGAGCAGATAGAAAGAAAAGCACAGCAGAGAGACAACAGATGAAGCAGGAAAACAGGAACCTCAACTGTACTTTTAGATAAGGCGAGAGCTCGTGTCTGTAAGCTGTGTAGGCCTAAAGACAAAGCTACATTAAATCTGTGATTCGGGCAGGCCAAAACAGTGAATGATGTAGTGCGTGTGCCCCAAGCCACCGGACTGGCTCTATTATCGCCTGTGTACTCTTCACAAACTGATTATACCGCACCACCTCTCAGCAAACTGAATTTGTTCGCCTATTCTTTGGGTGCGTACACAAGAGTATGTGTTTGTGTGTGTGTGTGTGTGTGTGTGTGTGTATAGCCCGACTCTAAGACAAAGACGAACAATTCATCTAGTCCGGGAGCTCTGCGATCTAAGAGACAAGCAGAGGGAGGAAAAACAGAGTGGTGCATAACACAGACACACAGTACACTGCACAGCCGGAGCATAAATCATAGCTTGAAGATCTACAGTAAAGGCTTGTCAATGATCCGCTCGCATGTTCTGAGAGGAAAAGACAAGTAGGGGAGAAAGCTTTGAGAAAATCCAGGTAACCTTCACATCATACATCAGAAGGCCTGATTAACCGCCAAATGCCCATCCTTGACTGCTTTCTCCCGCGTCAGTTAGAGGGGAACTGATGAGAAAGTCTTTCAACTTCTTCATTAGAGGTGTACCAATTAATTGCTCAAACTGTTTCTGGGTTTCACATCTGAGAGACTGCTGTATCACTACACACAGCCTTCAGATAAAAGGTAATAGGGTACTGCGGCTACATTCATGTGGAGCTCGACTGTTTTGTTTTATTTTAGTCCCTAATAATGTGACTTACTCCATGACTGCTCCCGCTCAATCCTACCTCTCCTACAAACTTTCCTTCCACCATCAATCCTCCTCTGCTAACTGTGTGTATTATCAAAAATGTCAACCAACAGACAGGGTTTGGAAATGCTGATTAAACTACAGCAGTATGTTAAACTTGAAAGGCAGCACTTAAATATAAAAGTAGCACATCTAATCTTCTGACCCGTCTCAACTGACACAAACTTGCTTTGAGTTTCCGTCTCTTCATCTGCACCCAGCAGTCGCTCCGGAGATGATAAAGGTGTTAAAATGTTCAGCTATGCTCTCCTTGACAACAGCTCTGCGCAGTCGAGACAGATTAGTGACACCGCTGCACATGAAAACAAATCAGCAAAGCATTATTAATCAACAATGCTCTGTGTGAGAAGAGAAGTTGACTAATGACTTATTCTCAACAGCAAAGTAAAAAATAGAAATAAAAAAATCTGAATATGATGTCACCACTTTTGAAGTTATCTCTCAGCCACATTATATCCTGTGTACAATATTTCACCTAACAGTTTGTAGTGTGGCCAGCTGAGTCTTACACTCATACACAAGTTTTCACTAGATCTTTCCTCCTCAAACTGGCTCACATACACACACACATATGCTAAATCTTTAGCTAGTAATATTTCAAAGACATGAGGCTTAAGCAGGCTTCCTGTTGAGTAGCGTAGTTGAGTGTGTCTCTACTGATTACAGCACACAAGACCGAGAAACCA